ACGGCAACAGCAGCGGCGGCCCCGGCGCGCTGCTCCCTGCCCTGCTGCCCACCGCCCCGCCGCCCACCACCCCGCTGCCCAACACCAGCGAGTGCCAGTGCCAGGAGTGGCACTACCGCATCCGTGCCGGCCTTGTCCAGAACGTCGTGAGCAAGGTAGGGCCCCCCTGCGCCCGCCTCTGTGCTCCCCGCGCTCAGGCACCCCTGCAGCTCGCCTCTCCGTGGCTGCTCGCACCTGAGAGAGGGAGGCAGGCAGCCCTGCCAGCGCAAAGCCAGGCGGGGATCCGAGTCGATTGGGTGCCAGGCTCACTCACAGATACATCTTGGGTGGGCAGGTTGCAGGCCCGCCCCAGGCCCCTGCATGGGTGGCATCTCTGGCAGAGCCTAGTCTGTTGGGTGCCAGGTTCACTCATGAATGCATGTGGCTGGGATGATCTAGTTGGGGAAGGCCCTGCTTGGAGTAGGGGGTTGGAGTAGATGGTTTCCTGAGGCCCCTGCCAATCCTCATTTTCTATGATCCAGGGTGAGCAGGTTGCAGGCTCCCTTGGATGGGTGGCGTCTCTGGCTGAGTCTAGTCTGTCAGGTGCCAGGCTCCTCACAGATTCATCTGGCTGGGATGATCTAGCTGGGGAAGGTCCTGCTTGGAGCAGGCGGTTGGAGTACATGGTCTTCTGAGATCCTTTCCAGCCCTCATTTTCTATGATCTAGGGTGGGCTGCCCTGGCAGCATGAAGCCAGGCAGGGCAGAGTCAGTCAAGTCCCAGACTCCCTCACAGATCCATCTGGCTGGGGTGATCTAGTTGAGGATGGTGCTGCTTGGAGCAGGGGGTTGGAGTAGATGGTCTGATGAAGTCCCTGCCAGTCCTCATTTTCTATGATTGTGTGATCTAGGGTGGGCAGGCTGCAGGCCCCCCTGGATGGGTGGTATCTCTGGCCAAGTCTAGTTTATCGGGTGCTAGGCTCATCTAGTCTATTGGATGCAGCTGGCTGGGATGTTTTAGTTGGGGATGCTGCTGCTTGGGGCAGGCGGTTGGAGTAGATGGTCTCCCGAGTTCCCTGCCAACCCTCATTTTCTATGATCTAGGGTGGGCAGCCCTGCTAGCGTGAAGCCAGGCAGGGCAGAGAGACAGTCAGGTGCCAGACTCTCAGGTACATTTGGCTGGGATGATTTAGTTGGGAATGGTCGTCCTTGGAGCAGGGGTTGGAGCAGATGGTCTTCTGAGGTCCCTGCCAACTCTCATTTTCTATGATCCAGGGTAAGCAGGTTGCAGGCTCCCCTGGGTGGGTGGCATCTCTGCCTGAGTCTAATCTATCAAGTGCTAGGCTCCTCACAGATGCATCTGGCTGGGATGATCTAGTTGAGGATGGTTCTGCTTGGAGCAATCCCTTCCAGCCATCACTTCCTACAGTTCTGTAGTCTAGGGTGAGCATGTTGCAGCCCCCCCTGGATGGGCCACATTTCTGGCTGAGTCTAGTCTATCGGCTGCAAGTATATGTGCGGACTGTACGTGCCCAGCCCAGGATGGGCTCCAATTGTGTCTGAAGAGTTCTTGTCCACACACCTAGGGAAGGAAAAGTGGTGCCATGCGCCATCTGGCCACTGCCAGGGTCCCTCGCTTCTGATTCCCCAGCTGTTACCTGAGGGCGAGAGTCCAGGTGGCTGGTGGTCTCCCCCTTGGCTGTGCTGGTGGGAGCACGCCCATGTGTTGGCATGTTCTGCCTGCCTGTGTCACTGAACCTGAATGAAAACCTTCCCCTCATGATGTAACCTGTGCCTCTCCTGACTGAATCAGGGAGACTGATGTGTGTGGCAGTGTTGAAGGCACGTGTTTGTGTCCAGGAGTGAACAGGTTGGCATCGTGAGGCTGGAGCCCACATGTCCAACAGGGAAAGCAGTCAATAATCCATTATCCATCTGGCCTTGACTATATCCCAGACCTCTGCATCTTGATGCATTCCTAGTGTCTAAATTTACAATCGATCTTTTTCTCTCTTCCTCCTCCCTAATGCCTCCCCTGTATTGTTTCAGAAGTCTCTCGCAGGGTTGTGTTCCAGTTGCCTTCTTTTGTTACAGAACACAGTAGACAAGTTGTGTGGAATTTCACTCTTCCTCAGGGGTAGTTTGTATCAACCTCTTCTACAGAGTTTTCCAACTTAGTGCTCATCTTCTTCCTCTTTTCATTAGCTTCCTGGATTTGCAGCTCTGGAAGAAAACACTGTAAAGAAACAAACAAACAAAAAACACAAAGGCAAAAACTCTCCCTTACTACAGTCCATGTTTGGGCTGTCACCAAATGAACAGCCAAAGGAAAATTCTGGGTTTTTCAGCAGAGAGGTTCAGGGTATTTAAATAGGCCATCTGGGCCACGTGCAGGTTTTACAGAGAGTAGACTGGTTTCAGATTGCACAACAAGCTTTGCCTCCACAAAGCTGGAGAGGGAGGTTAGTTGCTGAACACATTTAAGGATCAGGCTGTTGAAGCCTTAGGGATAGGTACCAGTAAGCCTGTTCCTTTGATAATGTTTATAGTCCGTACAAGTCCTACTGTTCAGAAGGAAAAATGTACATTTTGCACTTCATGCTGCACAAAGTACTGATAATCCCTTGAATGGTAAACCTGACTCCAGTGAATAAGGCCATGGTGAACTCTTAACGTAACTTCTGTATTTTATCATTTAGTCTATGAAGAAAGAACACTTTTTTGCTTTACACCTGATGGCCCTTTTTAATGTCTAAATTATTTATGTTAGTGATAGTATGAACATCCCTTTCTACCATCTGTGTACAGTTCTTTTGGATATTAGTAAACAAATGTTGCTTATGGAAATGTAAAATGAAATGGTTACATCATGAGCAGCAGTTCCCTTAATCCCAGACTCCCAGAGCTCAGCAAAAATTAGTCCCCACATGAGAACTGTGTTTGGATTAATTGATGCGTTGCTTTCCCCAACTAAATATACAGTAATCAAATGACCAGCGTTGGTTGTCCGTTCTTCCAGGCAGCACATACTCATGTCGGTTATTGGGAATCATTTCAGTTATATTTTGTGTCTCTTAAAGTGTGTGCGGTGGTGGAAATACAGCAGCAATACATGGAGCAGAAGCTCACAAAAAATTCACAGCTTCAAGAAATCAAAAATCTGCCTTGCCCTTTCTGCAAGCAGAGATGCATGTTGATTTTTAGTGGGTTGTGGTGTGGTGTGGTGTAAAACTGCCATGAAATTCAGATTCTCTTTTGTTATGGCTGGAAATAGAGGATTCTCTTTTGTCTTGAACTGTCAGAGAGCAATTCTAAAATACATTTTAGTGTAAACCATACAACTTAGTGAAATGTTGAGAATCTTTTAGAACTTATTGTAAGGCTGGCAGTAAAATGATTGGAAAGCTAGAGCAGTATTTTTAAAAATGCATTCCTTGGAAGAACATGCAACAAAGGGAAGACCGATTTTAATGGGCAAATACACTATTGTGATCCCCGTTGTGTTGTTTTATATTTAAAAAAAAAGAAGAATTTGGAGAGACTCCAAAGGGGGGGATTCCTAATGATTATTTTTGGTGAGTGTTGCTTCTTAAACCGTATCAGATCTTTCCCTCAGAACATAATTACAATGGCAGAGTTTTCTTAGGGTTAGGGTGCCTTTTAAATTTTCTTTCATAATGAAGAAATGAGGGCAATCCAGGCTCAATCTTTCAGGTAAATAATCAGTGGCCATTTTGTCCTTCACTTAATTGGAGCAGACAGCCATAACTTCTAATTCCTGGATGGGTGGTAGAGCAACTCTTGTACAAAGAGCTGGACAGACTTCTTCAGAAAACTGTATGCTCAGATCCACCCTCCCTGTTAAATATATTTGCCTTTATGATGAATTGCATAATGTTCTGATCTTCTTAAAGAGAGTTTTATTAAAAATATCTTAGAGTGATATACACTCAGCTGTGCAGAAGCAATGGGTAACATTGTGAAGTATCAAGGAGAGAGTCAAAAGAGCATTAATCAAAAATGTGCTTTTAATTCAGCCAGTAAATCTCCTCGTTTTAATATGCATTGCTCCTGAATAAGAGAGGAAGACAAGTGTGATCTGTTGTGCTCACCTAAAACTGTAAAATCATTCAGGTTATTTGTGGTGCAAAGTATATTTTCAGCTTCAAGCTACTTTTTGTTTTACCGCTTATTTTTTTGCCTATTCAAACACACATGCAAAGTTATCCTCACTCGTTCTTTTTCTGTCCACCAATTTAAATGGGTCACTACCTAGTTCCCCATCCTTTTGCCTCATAGTGTCCTTCAACAGACTGCTACCTTCTGCTCTGTGCTATGCCTGGAATTGCTAGAGACAAGGTCTAGTCATGTTCAGCAAAGCTCTGGAATCCATGTATTCCTGATGCTTTGCGAGTCTGCTGTTGTATCCTGTCATGGGCTGGATCATTAATCTGCAGTAGAATGTGGGTTTTCTGTTGGCTTCCTACAGAGCAGGGCTGTGCAAATCTCTGTGCCTGTCTCCAATCTTATTCTGGGAGGACAAACCTGATTCAGGCATCAGAATACTATTGCTTCCTTAATTTAGTTACAGGGGGGTTCTTTTCATTTTTTTAGCATGCTTCCAATCATACTGACAGTGGTACTAAGTACACACAAAGTATTTATTTCGGCAATATGAAATAATCAAATGGAGAAGCTGGCTGCACAATTCAACCACAAGAAACTCAATTGGCCCTGTTAAATCACAGATCTGGGTTAATGTCCTGCCTTAGTACATAAATCATGGACCTCAGCCTGGTACTTAAATAAATCTTTTCCTGTAGATTCATATATTTTATGTTGTAGTTTTTTTCAGTCATATGAAGTTAGTTTGAAAACCTGAAACTATATTTTTTAAATCGCGTAGTCTTGCGTCCATAGCAGATGTGTATTTTGATAAGAACCTGAGGTTTCTTTCTGTTCATGAGAGAGGTGTTCTAGGTTGAATAAGCAATCAGGACTTATATTAGAGGTGATATCTTTTATTAGACCAACTAAGGACATTATTTTGTAAATATTTAATTGCAGACTTTCAGGCACAAGCACCCTTCATCAGGCATTGGAGAAAAGATTGTAAAAGTTCTCCTGGGTAGAAATAAGGTCTTGAGACAGAAAGTGTTAGTAATAAATCCTTCTGA